AAAGAAAGTTCATATTTGTATTAGAATTTATCATGAACTACATAGAACTCTTATCACATTACTAGTTTAACATAATCACATTACATGATTGGTATAATCACATGTGATTGTCTATTGACCTATTTTGACTAGTTTTACAGGTATCATGTATGAGGATATCAGTGAATTCCTCGCTTTTGGGATTGATTAGGGAGGCTCATGCCGAGGGTGCTCCGGAAGAGAATTAGAAAAAAGAGAGGATCAGGGGTGATATTGCCAGATTTGTTCTGGATGGTCGTGGTTGGTTGGGTCTGGGTTCCGATGTCTGGTGGGGTCAGACAAATTGTATTATAGGAGGCTCATAAGTCTTGTTTTTCTATCCATCCGGTGGCCACCATGATGTATCGATATCTGAGATTGAGTTATTGGTGGCCGTGTATGAAGAGGGAGATCGCCTGGTACGTGGAGAGGTGCATAACCTGGAGGATGGTCAAGGCTGAGCATCAGAGGCCGCATGGCAAGCTGCAAAGGGTTTCGATGCTATTTGGGTTTCATCGTGGATCGATTATCCAAGAGTACCCACTTCTTGGCGATTCAGGAGAGTTCTTCAGACGAGAAGTTGGTCGATGTGTATATTCGCAAGATCGTTGCTTGCCATGGGGTTGCGGTCTCTATTGTTTTAGACCGTGATGTTCGGTTCACCTCCCGTTTTTGGCAGAAGTTCCATGAAGAACTAGGCATGAGGTTGCACTTCAGCATAACTTATCATCGGCAGACCGACGGTCAGAGTGAGCGGACGATACAAACCCTTGAGGATATCTTGTATATTGTTCCCCTCATCCATTATGACATCCACTTGATCTTCATTTTCAGATTGTTTCTCATCCTCAACATCACCTTCATCCTTTTCATACTATTCATCACTCTCTCGAAATTCATCATCCCCTTCATACTCTTCAGCATCCTCATCGCTTCCAAGTAAATTGTCCATAAGGTTATTAAAAAGCTCATTATATTGTTCATCATCATTAACATGTGGGGTCTTGTACCATCCTTCAATATGGTCTTTATCCTAAACCCAGTCATCTCATCCCCCACATTAGCAGTATTTGAAGTAAATGGCTTGTAGGATCCTTCAATAACAGTTGCAGCCTCCTGAACCTCCTTAACACCATCATCAGTGTTTTCATTCTCTTTTAAATAATCTATATCCTCTAAATTAAGCCTCTTGCTACAAGAACCTTCACCTCCTTTTGAATTCCCAACTCTACTCGTTCTATACTCTGGTGAGAAAGCATCACTTTTACTCCCAAACAGAATCAAAGACATTTACTCACCAATTGGCTCATCATTGACATGGTTCATATTTCTCAATGGAGATCCTACAAGAACTTCGGCCTCAACTTCAGGCCCTTGATCATCATTTTCTGGTAATTCCTCAATGACAACGTTACCCTTTGCATTTGGAGACATGAAGTAAGTGAGTAGATTTGTCTTCCCATGTCCTAACCTCAATCAACTTGTTATTTCGAATAAATTTAGAAAGATTGATAACATCCTAATCATTCCCTAAAGCTCTAAGACCAAATTGAAAGTCACCATTGGGTATCCTAAAATGGTAGTATATCATTGGGGATTCATCAGTCAATTCAATCATCTGTGGGTCTGGGTAACCTAGGTCAAGCATTATGGCATCAAGTTCATGTACAAAAAACTCATCTATGTCCACATAATCAACATAACGCACTTCACCTCCAATGTACTTTATATCAGGAAACTTAGTAAACTTCCTACCGTGATGAAGCTTAATACTAAACCATGTGGGTGCACCCGCTACAAGTCAAAATTGTACATGATAACAAAGTCAAAATTTTGCAGATTTTAGTATAAATCAAGGGGAAAATGCAAAATAGGAAAGTTAAAGAAAACATAGCAACTTACCATATACGGATGATACGTCCACAACTTTATTTTTTGGTATGAGCTGCCACATTACGTACACCATTTCGACTTTAACGTATGACATTGTCTCCTTTTGCTTCGATTAGGTTCTTTGGATAACGAACAATGTTTTTTTGCAGGTTTAATGGAACAGAAGGAAGAAGGAGGGAGGTGGGGAGTTGACGGGTGTTTGGGAATGTAAATGAGGGATAAAAGGTAAACGGAAGCGTTGGCATTCTTATGCAAAAATGGTCCCTAGAAGTAAAAATATGGAAATACTCTCACGTGGAAGGCACATGAGAGGGTTAATAGATTCTTTTTAACGGGAGTTAACTACAGGGACCATTTTCACAAACAAACCTGTCCAAAAGGGTCACGGAGCCAAAAAAATCATGGTTTGGACCAAAACCCCAAAAAAATGCATATCATAGGGACCATTAATCTAGGCTTGTTTAAGTGGTTGAGATGTAAGGAGAATAACACATGTATTCTGTCCAAAAAAACGTGTGGAATATGTCTGAGAAAAATAATTAACGTGTGGAATAAGGAAACATGAGATTTCACATGATTTACATTAATGCATTTTTTCGTACTCTAATTAAAGGCTCTATATATATCTCTTCATAAAAAATTATGCGTGTGACCAAGTTGCTGAATAAAACACATAATAATGTGAAAATACGATGAAAAAGGTAAGGCTGTTATCATGAGTAAGACAAGATGACTGAATGGAACCTTGGTATCAGTTTTGATACGCCAGTTGACTCAAAGCTTCGTAAAGCCTACCACAATGGTGTCCACATACAGATGATAAGAATCAATTTTCTTGTTGGATGGATGAGTTGAGGTGGGTTCCTCCCTTATATATTGATGCTAATTGTGAAGAACAACCACTAACCTATCATAAATTTTTAGCAAGTTTCTATAGTCATGTCCATCTTAACATGCTTCCTTGTTGTCTTAATCCTCCCACATACAGTGTCACTTAATTTCAGTTTTCCAAACATTAATACATATTCCAAGGAGATAGTAACAGAAGGTGGTGGAGCATATCTCTCTGATGTGGGAATCCAGGTGACCCCTGAAGACGACCGTATGCTAGAGAACAAGAGACAAGGCAGGGCAACATACTTCAGACCGCTTCACCTTTGGGACAAGACCTCCACAGAGCTAGCCAGCTTCTCCACCAATTTCTCATTTGTCATTGACTCAAAATCAAAAAAAACTTATGCTGATGGCCTCACATTCTTCCTTGCTAAGAATAATTCTTTTATAAATAGTGGTGGAGCCATGGGGCTTCCAATCGATTCTCAAAACAATGTCATGATACATCCATTCGTTGCGGTAGAGTTTGATACTTTTTTTAACTCCGGTTGGGATCGAACCAACTCTGATCATGTAGGCATCAACATCAACTCTCTTACGTCTGCTAGGTTTGTGGTATGGTGGAGCAACATAACATCTGGGAGAGAGTGTTATGCTCAGATTGACTATGATTCGGCTTCTAAGTTTTTGAAGGTTTCTTTCACCGGTTTTCGAAATAATACGCTTGTATGGCAAGGTGGACTTAATTACACTATTGATCTAAGGGATGTGTTGCCAGAATGGGTTATTTTTGGGTTTTCAGCAGCAACTGGGAACTTGTTTGAGAAAAACAATGTAAAATCTTGGACTTTTAAAAGTTCTGTTTTACGCGTTGATGAAAGCGTGAAGGGGAAGAAGGGGACAGCAGGATATTTGGTGGGATTGATAGTTGGAGCATGTGTTGTTGTGGCTTTGTTGGCTATGATTGCAATTATATGTTGGAGGAAGAGCAAAAACAAGGAAGATGAAGTGGTGGAAGTTGGATCTGGTGTGGAGATGAACAATGAATTGGAAATAGGCACCACTGGGCCTAGAAGTTTCTCTTACCACGAATTATCTCGGTCGACTGGTGGCTTTGCAGGGAATGAGAAGCTAGGAGAGGGAGGCTTCGGAGAGGTTTATAAAGGTTTTCTGGAAGATTCAAGCACGTATATTGCAGTCAAAAGGGTGTCAAAGAGTTCCAAACAGGGGATCAAGGAGTTTGCATCAGAAGTAAACATCATTAGCCGACTGAGGCACAGAAATCTGGTGAAACTCATTGGTTGGTGCCATGACAATGGAGAACTCATGCTTGTTTATGAGTTTATGCAAAAGGGAAGCTTAGATTTACATCTCTTCAAGGGAAAGAGCTTGTTATCATGGGGCACAAGGTACAAAATTGCCCGTGGCCTGGCTTCTGCTTTGCTTTATCTACATGAAGAATGGGAGCAATGTGTTTTGCATAGAGATATCAAATCAAGCAACGTGATGTTGGACGCAAATTTCAATGCAAAACTTGGTGATTTTGGGTTAGCCAAATTGGTTGACCACGAGAAAGGTTCGCAGACGACAATGTTGGCTGGAACTTTGGGTTACATGGCTCCTGAATGTGCAACAACCGGCAAGGCAAGCAGAGAATCGGATGTGTTTAGCTTTGGAATCGTTGCATTGGAAATAGCCTGTGGGAGAAAACCCATTGAAGAAAGGCAAGGAAAATTAGTAGAATGGGTGTGGGAGCTGTATGGGACTGGGTCTGGAACTCTATTACAAGCAGTGGATCCACGGCTAGGCTTAGATTACGAGGAAGAAGATATAAAGCGTTTGATGATCGTTGGGCTATGGTGTGTGCACCCTGACCCACACCTTCGCCCATCGATGAGACAAGCTATTCATGTACTGAAATACGAAGCTTCCCTGCCTCTTCTCCCATCAAAGATGCCGATGGTCTCTTATGTTTTATCTCCTACATCTTCCTCTTATGGTGTCGCCTCCATCATCCATACCCAATCATCAAGCAGGGCATCTAACATCGGTCTTAAAGTCAGAAACAACATGGTAGACAGTCTCCTCTGATTCTCCAAAACCCATCGTCAAGTGCTGTTACCATCATTACAACTATTATTATACTTATGTGTGTTTATATACATCTATGTATGTATGTATGTATGCATGTGTGTATGTGTGTATGTATTTATCTATAGTCTAGTGAATAACATTGTTGCTTTATATAAATGTAAGTGCGCCATTCATCATATGTATCAAATTGGCTCTCTTAAGTTTTATTTCTATTAACCAATTCTGTGATAACAATCTCTCCTATTCTTGTTTATATTCACCGATTGTGTGATGCATGTCTTACTGTTAAAATTTTCCTAGTTATGTTGTAGTGTGTCAGATGCAAAGAACAATTAAAAAAATTGTTAGGATACAAAGAAAATCTGATCGGATGTTTGAGCTATGGTCTACACCAACATACCAATGTCTCCTCTCTTCTAGTTTTAGTACTCATGTGTCCGGTTGTTCCTCTATAGACAGGGACGGTTCCACTATGGTGCCCATAGTGGCACCGGCAACCCCTTAATTTTTCGGATACGGTGTAAAAAATTTCGAAATTTTCGTTTTTTCTACATTTGTGCCACTACGTAAAAGGAAAAATGTGCCACTGGCAACCCCTACTACGAAATTCTGGGTCTGTCCCTGTCTATAGATGGTTGAGGTGATATGTTAGTTGAGAGACCTAAGGTTCTTATGGCTTCCTGCCAATTAAGCTTTGTAAAACGTCAAGTTGTTTTCTTGTATGTTTTGTCAACTTGGAATCCACAAGTACTACTTTTCCAACTAAAGGATTGTCATTCTGCCCTAGTGGCACAATCATCCTAAATTAACACCCAACCTGCTCAAAGGTGAAGGCCTAGAATGATTCAGAACACCGTATATGAGAATGAATATCATGAATGATTCTAAAGTGATAACTATTGAGGCCATATTGACCAAATATAATTTTTATGTCAAATTGTGAAATAAGACTGCATATCGTCCTTTTAAATCGGGTGGATATTACATAGAAGGTTAGAACTTAGAACTCATGGACACCACGATTGAGGGAAAAAGACAGTATTTTGGTATGAATATATATTCCATCGTTCTATATATGTATATATTTTATAATATCATGATTTTCTACAATACAATATAAATTTTAATAAAGTGAAGAGAAAAAAAACAATCAATCATGGAAATGACATTGTTATATAACAAATTAAAAATACCGGTATTGTAAGAAGCATACGTAAATTCAACGCAATAAATTACAAATTAAAAAGATCAATGAACTATACTAAAATTAAATAAAAGATGATATAAAAACCAAAACTCTACACATTGTTTATAAATTTCTAAAAACCTATTTATACACAACATATATAGTTTTGGTTGTAAGTTCATCACCCTTATCTGAAATTAACAATTTTAATCATTATTTACTTTAAGCTCTATATAAATCAACATACAATCGGTCATGTGTAAAAACAGGATCCTTGAGAAACAAACTAACATTCCATAATCTTTATAAGTAGGGCTGTAAACGAACCGAACGAACACGAACAAAGGCTTGTTCATGTTTGTTCGTTTAAGTTAGCCGA